TAAGATGCTCAGGATAATCCGAAGGACGATCTTCCTCGCGATCTTCATAACTTTCAACCACCTCTTCGTAGATGACGTACTCGATTTCCTGATCTGGATCAACCAAGATTGGAGCAACAAGTTTAGCATTACCCTGCATAACACTTCTGACGACTGATGAGGTATCCATCTCAGTACCATTCTGAACGTTTATTTCATTTTCAGCAGGTTCAATAGAGAGCTCAGCCGCTTGTTCATTTGAATCAAAGTCAGCTGAATCATTTTTCTCGTCATATTCCGAATCTTTGACCGTACATGCAGCTCGATGAAAATAGTTATCCAGTGTATTTCTCTTACTGGATGCATGCTGCAGAACGTGTTGGGTGAAGTTCGATACGATCCACCCCCATGATCCGTTTTTATTCTCTCTTGTGCTTAAAGCAACAGATTTGGTACAGTGGAAGCACACAACGCTAGCTCGACGGGGTCCCAAAATGTCAACATGTATTTGTTCTGGTATCTTCATTCCTTTTGCTTCCAGCCAGGTTTTGACTTTTGTTTGTATCAGCAAACTCGATTCTTTACCGACAACATGCTTCGAAGTGCCACTTCCATCTGCATTTTCCATCGATTTCAAAGGCGAAATACGTTGAGAATCCACCTGCAAAGTGGAACCGCTCACTTTGTGCTGCAACTAACTCTAAGTTTAACAAAACAAATTAACAACATATGAAAATCAAAATACCTTCAAAAACAGCTTCTTATTTTCTGGCAGCTTCTTGGACAACTCTTGCAATAAATTCCAGTGTCCTGGAACGATCCGGAATTCGCGTGGATCACGGTAGAAAATGTGGAAATTTTCGGCAGTTTTTTCGAACATCGTCATTTGATCGCGGGCAAAATATTCAAGCTCAGCTTTGAAATTGTCTGAAATTACTTTCAGAACACTGTAGCGGGCATAACCCGCTGCGCTTATCATTCTTTTTAAATATAAGGGAATAGGTTCACACGAAATGTCCTCCACTGTCTTCCAAAAATACTTTTCTTCATCTTCGAACTCTGTTGCATCCATTTTTGCTGATTCAGAACTGATACGATGCGAAAATCGAGGCGAAAATAAGGCGGCTAACGAAACGATTAACATGCGCGCAGAAAAACTTGCAAAACAAACACAAATTTCTTCGCTGTCAAAGTCGAGGTCAAAGGAACCGTATTAAACTGTATTGACGTATTTTTCGAGATTCAGCGTACTATTCAAGTATTGTTATTGTATTTGAAATCGTATTGGAGGAATTTCAGCGTATTGATGAATTATTTTGAATTGAAGTATTTAAATTGAATTTACGTATTTTGATGTATTTTTTAATGTATTTTTCGAAGTGTGTATTTACAATTCAATTTATTTATGAAGTTGATCGCCCCTCGGTATTAGCCTACCTACACTAACGATCTTATTGTAGTGCCATACCTTTGTACTTTGACCTTGTTGTAAACCTACATTGTATCACATATTACCTGACAATAAAGACTTGACACCTTACAGTTGAGGTGCTCGTCATAGTACTGCTTCCACCTCTCAATCGCGGTACAGATTCTCCATCGCCTCGCGATCTCGGTCTTCCTGCTGACGCTTCTTCCTTCGGAAACCCGAGTTTTGTCTGTTCCGCGCTTGTCTGTATCGCTCCACATTCAATCTCGTGGGGTGTTGCAGCATTCTCGCCCGTGCTGCATTGTTCTCCTTTATTAACAGTTTGCATTCCTGATGAATGTGGGCGTCTTAGTGGAATACCTGTATAATGAGAGAGAGAAGGATTAGTATTTTCCATTTAATTCCACTACTTTATTGGCTTATCCTTGACAGATACGCGTATTTCGTCTACAATGTGCAGACTTCTTCAGTGTCTTGTACTAATACTCGACTGTTTTAGTACAAGAATTAGTTTGAATTCGCCGTCAAACCAGTCATTTCTTCGGTCCGGGATTGCAGTACCTAGTGCCGCTGCAGCAGTACTACCAACAATCAATACGAAACTAACGATTTTAAATTGGCTCACCACTTTAGTAGCCTATTGGTCCCAAGCAAACGATTAACGTACCCTATTCTAGTTGAAATTCTATTACTACACTATGTTTGTTTTGATTCGCTACACGCTTATTCTGGTCAACTCAAAATTGAGTCGAATGTACTCATCTCAGCGGCAAGTATGGCTACTCAAAATTGAGTAGCCTTATGTTGACTCACTTTTGAGTAAACTACGTTCTCACGTAGACTGAGTCAAATCCACTCGCCGGTATTTTCAGTTGCGGGGAGAATTTTTTTTTATTTTTATTCAAGGAAATGGAAATTGCCTGCTCCGGATTTATTCTACCGGAGCAAAAAACGGTTCAACACCGTTTCCCTAAGCAATTCGTACTTACCTGAAGGCATTTCAGCCGGTTTTGAGTAACATTTTCTATGAGGTTTCCTCTGGCATTTTTTCCAAGTCCAGGATTTTGCTGACTGAGTGCCTTTTACTCAGTTTGACATTTCTCGTTTACTCAATTTTTGACAACTCGATACATCGGACGAAAGTGAGTACGATTGACTCACCTGGTGAGTAAGCAGAAGTTAGCGTGTATGAAAGTTTGACAGATAACATCAGGGGTGTGTGGATTCATGCAGAACATGCAGGGGTGAGTGAAATAGCTTGGGACTGCTTGGGACCGTTGTTCTGGTACTGAGTGAGCCAAAAATAATAATGATTTTCTTCGGGACCCAGTGGTCTTAGAGTTACCTCTATGGTACTACCTATGGCGGAACGGATGTCCCTCCAGCCATCTTCAAGAGAAGCTGCGCCAAGCTGCTCTTCCGTGGGTAGTGCAACTTCCAGCTGCTGCGCGTAGTCCTGGGCAACTCCGGCGTCCCGTAGTTGCTCAATGTTGGGTTGCGGCGTTCGACTTCGACGTGTGTTATGCACCGTCGAAAGTTATGAGCGCATGCATACTGCAACTAGGTAGTGGTCCGAATCTATGTTCGCACTGCGGTACGTGCGGACGTTGATAATGTTGGAGAAGAATTTCCCGTCGATTAGAACGTGATCGATTTGGTTTTCTGTGTGTTGGTCAGATGATCTCCAGATGGCTTTGTGGATATCCTTGCAGGGGAAAAAGGTACTTCGAACTACCATAACTCGAGAGGCTGCAACGTTCACGCATCGTTGGCCGTTGTCGTTCGATACGGCATGCAGGCTGTTTGGCCCGATTGCCGGTCTATACATTGCCTCCCGTCCTACCTGAGCGTTCATGTCACCGATGACGATTTTGACGTCCCGTTGCGAACAGCCGTCGTACACCTGCTCCAGCTGCGCATAGAACGCTTCTTTCTCGTCGTCGGGTCTCCCTTCGTGTGGGCAGTGCACGTTGATGATGCTGTAGTTGAAGAAACGGCCCTTAATCTTCAACTTGCACATCCTCGCGTTGATCGGCTGCCAACCAATCACGCGTTGGCGCATCTTACCCAGCACTACAAAGCCGGTTCCCAGCTCGTTGGTGGTGCCACAGCTCTGGTAGAAAGTAGCCGCTCGCTTTTCATACCTTTTGTCCCGTCCAGCAAAGTTCCTGCAGTGCTACGAATTCGAAGTTGCGTGGTTTAAGTTCGTCATAGATTAACCTATCGCAGCCCGGGAAGCCGAGTGATTTGCAGTTTCATGTTCCCAGTTTCCAATCGTAGTCCTTATTTCGTCGCGTAGGTCTGTGCCGATTGTTCCGATCCGTATTTCTTTCTTCAGTATTTGCAACTTTGTTTTTTTTCCAGGGCGGCTTGTTGGGCCGGGGGAGCATCGTGCACCTCCATGGTGAACAGACGCTCAGGTTTAGTGAAGCATTTCCTCTATCACCGTACTATGGTTACCGCGCCAGTGTTCGCGTCGCACCTCTTCACTTTGCTATTGCCGGACTGGCAACATTGCCCAGGCAACGCCTAGCTAATCGATGCACCCCTCAAAACATAGGAAAATCCACGAACCCCTCATTTATTCTGTCAAACTTTCATAGCGAATCAAAATAATTATGTTGTAGTACTAGAATTTCGACTAGAATGGGATACGTCAATCGAGTTGCTTGGGATCAATAGGCTAGTCAAGTAGTGAGCCAATTTAAAATCATTAATTTCCACCGGTTGCTCAAAAGCTTTCTGATTTTGAACAAGCAATGATTGTTTGTTCATGCTTTTTGTAATGAAATCACGTAGCGTGCGGATTAGACTGGCCCACAAAAATAAAAGTTCTAATTTTCCACGGGACAACCCCTAGATTTGTGCCATTAGGTAAGAAAACCATTATCCGAAAGTTTCAGCTCATTTGGTTCTAAGGAACTGGCGCTTTTAGTTTGAATTTTGTATGGGAAATTTGTATCAAATACATGAAAAAATGACACCTCTATATTCTATGGACCATAAAAAAGCTTCCTTATTCTGGATAAGATTCACATTTTCAAAACTTGTAGTTCAAATAATGAGTAGCAACTTTGCTGTAGATTGTACAATGAATCCAGTTGAATGTATATGAACATTTTGTACATAAAATTTCTACCAAATCTCCTATATGAGCACTAAACCAAAAGCACCAACCCGTGTATCGTCAAAAAGAGTTGAAACATTCAGAGAGTGGTTATCGCACCAAAAGACACGAGCCTGGATGTAGGTCTATGGAAAATATTTTTAGTGGTAATCTAGTTAATGATACGTGAAATGTCTCCTTGTAAAACGTCCACACTTTTGGTTCCGTAGTTTTACATGCTGTCTCTGGAAGAAAAACTTATTTAAATGTACAAAATATCAGTGTATCATCTTATGATTTCATAATTCTGAGAAACATGTTTTAAAGCGAAGTAAGCAATCCTGCTCAGAACACAACAAATTTGAATACAATCCGCATTATCACACCTACAGCATCATTTTCCAACAGATTGGACGGAACACCACTGAAATTTCTTTCATCAAACTCAACTAGGTTCCGTTCTACTACTTTGATCAACTATAAAACCATTTATTGACCTACAACTGCCAAATCCTATAACAATTTCAAATGTCCCACCAACGAATCTATAACTTCACTGGAATTCGGTCCCAGCCCCAAAACAGTTGCCGTTCCACTGCTAACCTGAGTCCTGCCAGCATCTCTCACGATCTCTGCCACCACGTGCTTTTCCCTGGCAAATTTAGCTAGTTTCTCCATTTCTTGCAAATCATCTACCTTAACTACTATCTTCGGTTGACCCTGCCCTAACCACATATTCAATTTCGACTTATTAATGCTGGCAGATTTCATGTAGCACATTATGGCCGCATGAGCACATTGGGAAGCGATTTTCCCCTTCCGTAAACCTAAATCCGAACGCACGACTAGAACCATTTTCATTGGCCCTACGACGGAAGATGCAACCGTCCTTAGGATATTCATTTTTCGTACTTTCGCCGCTGCTGTTCGGTGTAGTCTTGCATGCAGGTTTTGAACTCCTTGACCACGTCCTGGCACTTGCGCCAATCGCCGGTTTCCGCTATGCACTCCTGCAATTTGAGAAAGAGTTTTTATAATTGTGTTTGCACAACTGGCGTATCGTGTTTTTGATCTTGATTTCTTACATAAATTTTCGAAAAGGAAAAAGTAAACACTAAACTAACCTGAACTTTGTAGTGAAGATTGATGCAGCCGGTTTTCAGCAGCATTTGTTCCACTGGATCTACAACAGCGTCACTCATCGTTCCTTCTCAGCTGTTGGTGCCACAACTGCGAATGCTTTTTAATCTAGTTTCTTAACACAGAATGCATTCGGCAAAAGAATAACACTGTATTGATAGTATAATTGCAAAATTATGAATGAAATTAGCGTAAACAAATTATACCGTTACATCACGGTAAAGCATGGAAAAGCAAAACAACTCAAAAGTGACAATAAAAAAAAACTCGATATGAGCGTTACGTTTTGATGTGCCTCATCAATCAAATTTTTTTTATATTCACGGAGAAACGGAACAACTCAAAATTATAGGGGAAATTGCTCTAAAGTTGGCATATGGATCTAACATTGGGCCCATCGCTAAAAATCTGCTATTTATCAATTTTATGTAGATGAACGCGTTATTGTGACGTTACTACACACTTAATCTAGCTCGGTAAAATCTCCAACAGCCGATTACTTCGGCATTCACTTTTGCTGATATCTCTGCAAAATATCTGTTTGTTAGCAGCAAAATGTTTTGGCCTATTCTGCGCGGCGTGAGAGGTGAGGTGACACGCTGTCACTTGTGAAGTGACAAATGTCACCTCGGGTGAGGTGACTCTCCGTGCAAATCAAACGGAGAGTCACCTCACCCGAGGTGACAATTGTCACTTCACCATCACTTCACTGTCACCTCACCTCACACGCCGCGCAGAATAGGCCCAGTTATTTGTTAGCTGAGTCTCGGCAATTGTTTGACCAAATCACAGCAAAATAAATTGCGGAATTACTCGGCTGTTGGAATCTCGGCGAAAAAATTTAACTGTGTAATGGATATTTTTGGTTGCTATTGAAAATTTAGTCGATTGCTGAATTTATGTATGGGCCCAAATTAGGGACACTTAGGCCGACATTACCTGCATTTCCCCTACACTCAAAGATTTCAAGCTGAACATTGCATTAGGTCCTAAGTAACATTGATCGATTCTCTTCGTCGACTTTCTCTTTCGTTAATATCTTGAGCACATAACCGTTTCTTGATCTGGTTGACGTATTAGATGCTACTTAAAAGTTTCTTCTATCGATCTGTGAGCTGAAAATAAGTGGGAATGTCTTTACATGGCCGTGGGGATGCGAAGAAAAAGTCGACGAAGAGAATCTGTCAATGTTACTTAGGATCTAATCAAGGGGTTGGTCACTCTACACAGTGTGCCAAAATCAAACTTGGGCACCCCCGGGCATCGTCATTGACGCTGTTTGGCACCCATGGTTACAATTTTTATGATCTTTAAAGCTACTGGCAACACTGAACTTTTTCTGCGCTTCAGTGTGCATGTGTCAAAATTTATTATTGATGTTGCCACAATATAATCAAATTATTTTCAAAACAAGCGTGAATCCCCACCAAGTCTCGCCATGGATTCTCAAAATCGTTACAGCTCTCACGGCTGCGGCTGCTTCCAATTCTGCTGCTGGTCCGTCTTTTTTTTAATGAATTTTAGAGTAGACGGACCAGCAGAAGGAACAGCAGCAGCAGCAACTAAAGCAGAAGCAGCCGCAGCCGTGGGAGCTGAATCGCTAATTCGTGTAGCTGTGGCCGACGCTGGAAATCTCGGGCCGGTCACGACAAGCGGTGCTTGAGTTCTAATCGGAAAGTCAACCAAACAAAAACTATACCATCCGACCATAAGAACTGCTCGAATACATCCATCGCCACCGCTACTACACCACCAGCACTTCATGATGGCGTTCACCGCCAGGGCTACGCTCGGGAACTCAACCAATCCGGAGGAGGAAATTTCCGATATCAGCGGGAACATTCGCACTTGCGACGGGTGGCAGTGCTTGGTGGTGAATGCAGTCAGCAGCAGATCCTCCGACGGCATACGGGTGGGTATTGAAGAAGTGGTGCGATTTTTGCTGGCCTGGGAAGTGATTGTTCTTGGAGGTGTTGTAGACCTTGAAGCTGATCGAATTGTGCGGCAGGGTGTACGTTCGACTGCGATGGTCGTCTTTGGTCTTCAGGAACTTTATTCTGACAACATTTCCATACAGGAAGGACAGATTGAACAGCTTATCGGTGTTGGCTGTGTTGTTATCGAGTCCGTAGGCCATCATCACTGCGCCCTGTTGCTGTGTGGGTTGGATGAAGCTGACTGGTCCGTTTTGGGTCAGCGATGCGTCCTTCATCAGTCCGACGTGTGTTCCGGCCGGTGTTGGTTTCCAGTTCTCCGGCGGATGATACTCAGGCGGTGACAAATTCGGTGCAAATCCTCCACCGGCTCCCAGAAGGACTGGTTGACTAATGATTGACTTTCGTTGTGCGGGGTTGGCCTTCCGCCGAAGATTGATGTTTTTGAAAACATTGAAAATCAAAACAAAAACAAGAGTTGTTAAAATACCGGGTTGCCAAACAAGGCATTATTCACAAGCAAACAAAAGTCAGTTCAATGACTTCTTCTACTTCATGGCACTGCCGATACAGTTGCGGCACACTGAGGTACACTGAGAAAAATGTTGGCGCAAAATAAGTGTGTAGAGTGACCACCCCTTGGACCTAATGCAAAGTTCAGCTTGAATATGAAATGAAAAAAGTTTAAAAAGTATGCAAATTCCCGCTTCATCTTATTCACGCAGAAAAATTTACCGTCCAAACAAACGTATTCCATGTTTGAATCCATTGATAATAATGTTTAAAACAAAAATAATTTTACGTTTATTTTAAAAATATGCGTGCTGAAAATAAACGAGAATATTTTTGTCTGATTTGACAACTATAGGGGAAACAGTCCTATTAAATTTGACAGATGGAAAATTTCAATTAAACCCGCCATTGTACCAGACTGATTTCTGAATCAATTTTGACAAATTTGAAGCTTCTCGAAAAGCGGACCATCAATAATACTAAGAGGAAGAGGAGACAACTGGTTCCTTACTTTTTATATCTATCTCTATCTTACACACTACAAATTAGCCAACCACGAGCTGGTTCGCGTTTGACAGAAAAGTGGTTCATTTTCGCCCCCTTATTGTATCCTCTTCTCTTAGCAATAACAGAATGATTTTCGAACATTTTATTTTATTTCCGAATTGTCAAATGTAAATGAAAATTTACCAAATGGACCACAGCCTAAATACTATACACGCAATTTCAAAACTACCCAAATTTGAGTACAATCCACCCAGATCGGTCAAAACTGAACCTACCCAAAAATTGGTAAACTGTATTGGGAGCTCGGTTGGGAGTGACAAGTTGACAAATGAACAACATTGACATGAATCCGATCCGATTTTGATCGATCTGGGTGAGTTCTACCCAAATTTGGGTAGTTTTGAAATAGCGTGTAGGAACCGGGACGGGACTTGACAATCGAGCTTCTTACTCTCCTTAATGTTTTTCAAGAATGCCCTTGTGCGGTGTTTGACGGAGTTGACTAATAATGCTAGGAATGTAAAATATTTTTCTAGTTTATGATTGTTACAACAATAGGTCGTATGAATAAAAGCGTTTACTTTACTTTTCCCAAAAGAAAACCACGGGAAAGTAAAGTAAACTCTTTTTATTCATACGGCCCAATATCCATCGCTCAAAACACGCAGTGCACTAAATTTTTCAACATTCCTTTTGCAAATATAAACAATTGACAACGCAATTGCCTCGTTACGTGGGTAGATAACCTTTTCGTGGTACGTTACGGGATGTAAGATCTACCACCGATTCTTAGTCCTGACTACTTCAAACTAGGGGAACAGGATTTTTCAGTAATCCAAGAAACACAAGTTAGTCCTTGTTACTTTTAATGCCTTGTTGATAGTGACAAGACTCGGCTTTGTTCACCGAGGATGATCTTGAAACAATGAGTTTGTCAGTCTTCATCTATGTGATTCCATATCTTCTATTCGCTGTTCCATAGTTTAAAGGGGTTAAGACAATGGTTCTGATGCATGGTCATTATCGGTGTCAGTTCTTAATTTTGTTGCTAAGGAATCCAATTTTGACTGACAAAGGGGCGCGCCTTTGGAAGGTGTTTCAACACTCCGAAGGGTATAAATAGCGGGACCTTTCAATTAGAGTCGGATCTTTGCGATAAATACAAAAATGACAACTGTAAAAAAATCGGATACTTCATCATTTATCAATAGTAATGGAGTAATACGACATGCACTACACTGAGGACACGGGATATACTACAATAGATCAAATAACTGGTCGCAGTGGTATTAGGCCCCGAACAGAGGAAAAAACTACAAGAGACAGCCCAATGGGGTTGTACGCAATGATGACGTAGGACTTCGTGGTATGATATAATAAATATTTTTGTTAACTGCAGCAGGAGCTTGTGTTTTGTGTAGGAATAGGAATTTTAGCGGGGTTCTCTCTGTTTATACTCTTTAGTATGACGCGCTTAACATAGATGGCTCACAGCGACTCACGAAGATCTACTGATTCACAGAACACCACCACTCACCACGCGGTGATTGAATAAACACTGTTTGGTCAAACTAGATGGAATTCAACTTTGAAATCTGTGTTAGAAAAATTGCTTTTCGCAGGCAATCGGTGATAATTTTAATTATCAAAGCAACAGTCACACATTCGTGCAATTTTAAGAAGTGACATTTTGAAAAATGATAAAGTCTTGAATTTTACAGATGCGTAGGAATATTTCTGATCGATTGGTGATGAAATTATTAAAATTGGTTAAGGGGCAACTGAGTTATTAACGTTCAAAATCTTTCATAATTTTGTTACATGTTCTATTTTCGATTTTCACAAAGTGTACCCCCATATAGAAATCACAGACGTAGTCCTTCGTCAAAAAAAACAACACCATTGACGTCAACATTGACTAAGGCATCACTGCCAGCCATATGGATGCGATCCCTTTGTCCTTTTTATTCCACGATTGCTACTGTCAAATCGACTAATCAGAAACTGGCTCGGATTTGACAGCAAATTGGCTCGAAATCGCTTCCCGATTGTTAAATCCCGTCCCAGTGTAGAAATAGCGGTTTTGATTTATTTCGCTTCTCCGTGCACCACTTCACTTAAATTCACCACATGGACCCAGCAGTTTTAAACGTAACGCTTGTACTAACAGAAGATGTCAGTTTCGGTAAATAAAAAGTCACCGAAGTTTTTTTCAGTTCAAAGCAATCAATGCTAGCAAGAAGAGGCAGTGCATTAATGCTCTTCGGTTTTTGGTATCCAACAAACAGTCCTATACATTTTGTTTCAATTTTATTGTAAAACTAACAACAATCTGGAGTGAGATAATTTTCATTGCATTATATGCATATGTTGTGCGTGAGTTCGCGTAACAGCAAATTCGTTCGATTGCAGTGTCTTCTGTTTTGAGACCAACTCTGAAAGATCGTATGCGAGCAATCTTTTAAGCGTTAGCGTCCATCCAACAACTTCCTTTGCACAAAAACAACCTTCCCTCGTTTCGGTTGACGTTGGCCATTTTTCTACGCTCTTCTTCCGCGTGATTTGAACCACGACAACAGCGTCGGAATTTGTGGATGTTTCGACCCACGAAAGTGTTCTAATTTTAGTTCCGAAGTGACGTGTTAATGTACGCGGATCTTTAGAGTGGTGTTTTTAAAAACAATATCTTTCCAAAGGCAAGTAGCTTCGTCAGCTCAGTCCAACATACTGGGAAATATACGAAGGCAGCTGTGGAAGTAGCGGGAGCGGAAGTGAAACAACCCTGAAATCAGAATAATAAAAAAAAAACAGCAAGCAAAACCGGCGCTCTCGAGTACCATCGAATGCGAATCGAGTGTAAAAGGCGAATAATCGAGGTATGATATCATCGGTTTGATTTTTTTTTTCCATCGTAAAAGCGCTGTTTGTTCATCATCGCCCGTGTTGTAGAGCTGCAGAAGAAAAACATTGTTTCAATCGGTTTCACGTGCATCGGAGAGAGAAGCGAGATCAAAATAAGCATTATATATTGGCGTCCACAGCTTCGCCTAGTGTTAACTTTTGAGGTCAGTGAAAATGTACGCTGCTGATTGCTGCTCCATTTGCTGCCTGCTAGCTTTGTCCGAGTGTTGCTGAAGTGAAGAAACTAGGAGGGAAAAGCAGTCCTCTAGCCACTACCAGAGCAGAAAGGTAAATAGGAAAGACGAAACGGTAGCAGCTTTGCGGTTGTGGCAACACGGATTATGAGCTCAAGCCGATTGCCGAAATTTTTAAAACCGGGTAAGTGCTAGTTCTTAATCTTATTTGCTGCGGAGGGGACGGACGTGACGCTAGTCGATAATTAAACATAAAAGTCGTGAATCGTTTAGCATCCGGGTGTGAGAGAAGTCGATGGCTTTTGTAGATCGGGATGGGTGGTAAATACACTAGATACATGTATAGCTGTAGAGGGGCAACCCAATTTGAGTTCATTAGTTAGCGTTTGCTTACCAATTTTGTGTTGCCCCCGTTTCACCACACTTGCTTTCTGTATTTTTGATTTGCTGCACGGAGGAGTAGATATTAGCGCATTTCTGTTTCTCTGTCATGCAAGTACTGAACGTTCGATGTTTGAATGGTTGGCTGACGAAAGTGGTGGTGTTAAATGTGAAATAGTGGTCTTCGGGCGCGAATGAAGTGGATAAAATTGCGACGTGTAGTCTTAAAAATCAAGAACAACATGTGAAAAGGGCTTACAAGCTTTTTGTAAACAAACCTTCTTATGCCCTTTTCTCGCCACCCATATGACACCAACGCAAACCATCAACATCACCGGGTAAGGGAAACTTTCCCCTTCCCGATGATATTGTTAGTTTGCATGAGCGACCCTCGGTTCGTGAGAAAAGGGCCTACAAAGGTTTGTTTACGAAAAGCTGGTATGCCCTTTTCACATGTGGCTCTTGAAATAAGGGGTGTCCCTATGATTCATTGAATTATTGCCACTAAGCGTCGACCGTCAGCCACCGTTGGGTACTACAAATTAAACATGTTTTGAGACGACCTTCTACCAGCGATTTTAAGTAAATGAAGCAATAATTTCCTGATTTTTCTAGCTTAGCATAAACAAGATCCTATTTTATCGAGGTTCTAGAAGATTGTTGTTTTCTTCTAAATATTGTTCCACGACAAAGCTCGAGCGGTCCTATTGAAAATGAAGCATGATTCCGTGTTGACATCCAACGATTTGGTCTTGTTGACATTGATGGTGAGAAAGGATCCATTATTCGGCATACCATAGCACCGTTGGAACCGTCGTCGCCAAGTAAAAGTAGTTGAGGTGGTCCACAGTCAGATTCACAGATTCTCGTGATTTAGTCGTGTTTACAGCACATGTCAGGTCGTGTCTTGTTGTATAAAAGTACTGGTTTATTGGGTGTCAAGGTAATACAGTAATAAATGAAAGGTGGTACATTTGATCAAGGTGTTCAAGGATGTATCGAGAAGGTGTTACAAATACAACATCCCCCCATTACCGTAAAAACAAGTAATCAAATCAAAAGAACAATCATGGAACAAATTGTGCAAATCTAGCTGGTTTTCTTATTTCACGTTTTGGTCTGCTCACTTCATCTCGATCCATGTCTGCTTGAACGGATGAAGATGATCTGGAAGTTTATGTAAAACTACGGCCTTCTCCCAGCGCGAAGTTATGTCCGGTCGACGTTGAACAAAGACGTTTTCACCCACTTGCAGCTCCGAAAGTTCCTTCGATGTCTTATCGTAGCTTGCCTTCGTTATTTGTCTCCTTTTATGGATCCGTTGTTTAACGTATTTAGCTCCTTGTGGTTGCAATCTGTTTGTGATCAGAGGAATCGCATCGCGCGTATCTTTCGAAAACAATCGCTGGTTTGGACTTGAACCTACCGAGTTGGGACTGTTTAGATGCTGCAAGAGGGCTTGCCAAAAATCCAGTTCTTGCTTCTGGCACTTTTTTATAGAGCTGTTTCATTGCTTCAATGGCTGATTCTGCTTTACCGTTGCCTTGTGCGTGGTACGGAAGAGATGTTACATTTTGGAAGTGCCACTCTTTTGCAAACTTGGCCCACTCCTCATTGTCGAATTGTGGACCATTATCCGTAACCACGATTTGTGGTGATTGATGCCTTGCAAAATTCCGCTTACACACGTTAATTACATTCTTCGTCCTGGTATCGGTGATGAAGACTACCTCTACAAATTCGGAATAGCTGTCAGCTACTACCAAAATAGCATGTCGTTTTCCATTCTCATTGACCTCTCCGAGATCAATATTTACACGTTGGAAGGGATATTCTGGGATTTGGTGAGTTCTCATGGGCTGTCTGGATTGGCTGGCACTGAACTCCATACACACTTCACAATTTCGTATGTAATTCGAAATATGGTCCGTCATTCCAGGCCAGAAGAGCGATTCTCTAGCGGCACGCAAACTGTAGTCGATTCCTAGATGTGCCGTATGTAGGCTGTCCATGAACTTTTTTGAAGTCGCTTTGGCACCAAAACTCGGTCTTCCTTAAAAATGACTCCCTGGCACGTCGTCAGCTCTTTTTGCAACGCTCGAAAGCTTAGTAGCTCGTCTTCGATGTCTTCCTTCTTTTCCGGCCAACCATCAATCAATATTCTGTGCAACTTTGAGAGTGTTTGATCCTTCTACGTTTCTTCGGCAATTTCCTTGAATCGTTCATCTGAGAGGCTGATAAACTCTACAACGTTGACATTCTAAATATCCTTGAATGCCGCATCGACTCGGCTAATTCAAAACGATTCGGCGTCTCCTTTGGTACCGATTTGCTCGATTGCTGTTCTTGATAGAAGGTCTGCAATATAGTAGTAGTAAAATTTACGTTTATTTTCTGTTTTTTATGTTTCAACATTTGGTTTAACATTTCAATTGATTAGCCTTTGGCTCTTCATATTTGTTCTAGTTAATTGGTTATTCTAATGTGATAATTGCGTTTAGCGTTAATTTACAGAATACCCTTTGTGGGATTGTTTTGGCTTGAATTAAAAAAAATTGATAACCTACCTACTTGAGCACAGGAATCTGCCTAACTACCTAAACTAGGTTGCCAAATCACGAATGATCTGGTGGTTTGATCGCAGATAGGGGACTCTGAACCTTTCCAGCGTGGAAGTCTTTCGCTCCTCGAGTGTTTGAAGACCGGCCAGGTGGTCAATCTCAGAATTATGAGTTCGCGGTGGACTGTTAAGGATCATTCTGAGGATCTTGTTATGGATCCTCAGAAGCTTTAGGTGGTGGCACTTAGCACAACTCTCCCAGATTGGCATACCATACTCAATAGTCGGCAGAATGATCTGCTTGTTTTTGAGGGACAGGGTGGACTTCCTCTTTATCAGAGAAGGTCTGCAATATACATTTCACTGCCTTTGTTATACTGAACAACAACATCGTATCGCTGCAACGTCATCATCATCCTCTGGAATCGAAGAGGTGCTTTCGTAATCGGCTTCTTGAAGATGTCTTCGAGTGGTTTATGGTCCGATTCTACAACTACGCGGGACTGTCCTGCAACGTACTGATCACAGCTTCGAGCTAACTCACATAAAAAAAAAGAGTTTTGCTGCACAGCATCTCCGAAAATTACTTCGTCAACAGAAAACTCGAAGAATTTCGACAATTTGGGATGTCCACCACCAACAAATATTCGACTATATATTCGGCAGATCGATGTTGAAGGAGGAGATAAGATCGAATGTGGTGGTTGTGACAAACCCAACAATGCTGAACTGTACATGGTTCAATTTCGCGACTGTTCTCGTTGGTATCGCCAATGTCAGACAGTCCACCGTTCAGAAAGAGGTCTTTATGTGTTCCTTGTGTATTCCGCGGATTCCGATCAAGCAGCCGAGCTCCGTCACGTGTCACACTACAACCTCAAGCTTACGACAGGCGAGGATCGGTCGTGAATTAGAACGTCTCAATGAGGAGAGGAAGCTAATGGAAAGAATGCACCAGGAAGAACAAGCACAGTAAGAAAAGGCCAGAAAGGAAAAATACGATCGGGAAAAGCAATATCTCGCCAAGAAGTTCGACTTATTGAAGCAGCAAGATGAACAGGAGGGATCACGAACTTCTAATACTCACTGTAGCCAACAAAGCCGTCAGGACAAAGAAAGTCAGGATAAATGACGTAATTACGATCACCGAGAAGACCGGTTTCGTAGAGCAGTCGTCGGAAATCCTCACAAAAAATGCTGAGCAGGAGTTGATGGCAAATCCAATAGTTGCCGCCGATGTTCATGCAACTTCAACACCTATACCTAACCGAAACGTCAACACTGCTACTGGGATGGTACAGCCTGCAGCAGTTCGTTTCCGATTGAGTAAGAGCTTCGGAATGGAATCGATACCTCGCACCACGGGGAGCATGGCGATCGGTGAGACGGCAGAGGAAGACTCGGATGGTGTGATTGGAGCTGTTGGTGGGTCACAGAGAAATATAAACTCACAAATAGTACCGTTCGTTGACGTTGGTCCTTTCAACGTTTTACTGCATGATCCAGTAATGACCAAATCGAAGCCAGGCACTCTTCCAAAGGTCGTCCGAAATCAACCAACCTACGAGCAATGGCGTTCCCGTACTCAAGAACTCGAGCAAAAACACAAAGAGGAGAACAATATTCGTCGCAAACGTGAATTAGAGCTGGTTAACCAACTGAACCGGCTAACGATACAGAGAAATGAAGACCTTCAGAAACAACGCGATGTGGAAAAGGAGCTGCAACGCCATGAGCAAGAGCAGTGCAGATTACATGAACAAAGACGGCATGATTTGGCTAGATTCGAAGATTTCCAACGTCGTGAGCAAGAACAGATTCGGGTTATCGAGCAAAGGCGACGTGACTTGAGCTTGTTGGAAAAACAGTTACATCACCGAGAACACGAGCAGCGTATGCTCAACGAACAACATCAGCGTGAGTTGTCAGAGCGGGATCAGGGACTGGAACGTCTTATCAAGCTGAAGCAAGAGTATAGACAGTCCATGGAAGCTCAAGCACGTCAACAACAACCTTCTCCAGATCTGCAATCGGAAGACACGTCGCAAGGTGGTGCTCGGCCACATCCAAGTGACCACAGCATTCTTGACTGGAACTCTCAGGTATCTCAATCAACCCCACTGGACGGGTGGAATAAAGAAAAACTACGCTAATTCACGGGTAGTTTCGGTGGAAATATCTACGATGGACAAAGATCGTCGGTACAACGTATCGGAGGTCTACACAGTTAGTAATCTGGGGCT